CCCCAAAACCCCAAAACCCCAAAACCCCTTGTAGGAGAAAAACTTTATCAGAAAAATAATAGATAAATTCTGAGAAAATGGAGCAAAGCCAAGAAGATTCCCTTCCCATAATGTAAGTTCTCCTCTATCCGAAGCTGATTTGTTTAGTCCTAAATCAATATGGGAGGAAGACCCATCTCTTCGTGGAAAATCAGTGATTAACACTCGTTGGATGAGCCTGAACGACAAAAGGAAGCCTTGAAATTACTGCCTTAATCCAAATCTAGAAGAGAATCACTTCTATAGATGGGGGTTCTATTCAAGCAAGATGAGGACAGATGACTACGAGAAGCTACTAGACCTAGGCTTTGAACGGTCAGGGACCTGGCTGTTCAGACCAGACCCAATAACCTCTTGTTGCCCTCTTTACATCCCAAGACTTGATAGTACAGAGTTCAAGCTCTCAAATCAGCAAAAGAAGCATATGAAGAGGTTCAATCAGTACATAAACGGTGACCGAGAGTTTAAGGCTACCATGGAACCCATTGTTCTCAAAGATCTAGAAGGTATCTTTCATTTCTGATTATTTTTATTTAGAGATCAAGAAAGAGCAAAAGAAGAAAAACTACGAATCTTTCTTGGATAATTTAAAGAATGAACGAAAAGAACTCAGAGAGCTCTTATTTGACTGTATTTTGAATAAGGGAACGTTCATCGACGAAGGGCTTACTAACGAGAAATAAAGAAGAGATCAAAAATCTCACGATCATCGAAGATATTGAAATTCCAGATAGCTTAAGCAACAGAGCTCATTATTCTTGAGATGTAGTTGATGTCATTCTTGAAGAGTCACAGAATCCTGAAAAAGAAGTTTTTAGGCCTATTTTGATTCAAGCTTGAAAGGAACTTTGCTCTGTAAACATCAATTTAAGAATGAAATTCAGTATCATAAACTCAGATGAGTCTCTGATATTCCAGTCTAACAAATTTCTTAGTATCAAAAATGCTCAGGAAAGTATTGTAAACTCTGAAGAGCAGCCGAAGATGAACAAATACTACGAAATCGGCTATATAGAAACAGGCGAGGAAGAAAAGATCGCTCTTGAGGCATCTAATTCCAGACCATATACTGACTTCTTTGAAGAATTTGTACCAAACACCAAAAAGGAATCCGAGAGGGCACACAAATACACTGTATCTTTACATAAAGCAATCTGATACAAAGAGAATTTGGAATTATTCAGAAAATTTGATCTTATCAGGTTTGGAAAGGAAAGAGTTAAAGGAGATTTTGACACCTTCTTAACAAACAGCTGCTTGTATGACCCTCGAGACCCACATTTCTCGAATACCACAACTTATTTGGGGGAGGACAAGCCTGATGAGAATAGAGCATTTAAAGATGAAGGAGTATACCCAGAATTTTACGGCTCTTATCATATTCATCATAGGATTGATGGGAAGTTAATAGCCATTAATGTCTGGGACATAACTGAAAATACTCTGAGCTCTGTATACACTTTCTACGACCCTGAATATAGCTTCCTATCTCTTGGTCATGTAACAGCAGTCAGAGAAATGGAATACATGATGAAAATTAGAAATGAATACAACCCCAATATGAGGTTTTACTATATGGGCGAATATGTTTGGAATAGCTCTAAATAGCAAGTATAAAGGCCATATGCATCCTCAGAATCTCTTATGATCAATTACACAGACTTTCGTTCCTCTAACTCCAGAGATAATTAAACAAATAGCTGAAGGGAAAGATCATCATTTAAACAAAGATGCAGAGCCATTAGTTCACGAAGAAAATGAAGAATTACATAATTTCCTTACAAACTTCAAGGTCATACTCGATAAGGAAAAATTCTTGAAAATTCAGAACATGAGGGAAGATTTTCAGGAAACATTCATCACCCAAATGAAAGCATTACACAAATTCATGGGAGATCTCCTATTCGAAAGATTTATTTTTGAGTATTTGTAGGTATAAAATTCAAAAAATTTCTCTTTTGAAGGGGTTTTGGGGTTTTGGGGTTTTGGGGTTTTGGGGTTTTGGGG